CAAAAATTTGTTTGGAAGTCAGATACGAGACAATATGAACCTCGAAAGAGAGGTTTTGCAATATGACGTTTGAGTTATGTTCCTCCAAGTACAGGTGAACCGTACTACCTGAGATGTCTTCTAAACATAGTGCGTGGGGCTACATGCTACGATGATATCAAAACTGTTAATGGCATTGTTCATGAATCATACCGTGATGCATGTTATGCTTTGGGATTGCTTGACGATGATAGAGAATATCTGGACGCATTCGTGGAGGCAAGTCACTGGGCTTCTGCTGCGCAGCTAAGGAATTTATTTGCAACGCTATTGACGACAGAATCAATGTCGAGACCAAGACATGTGTGGGAGCAATGTTGGAAGTATATGGGAGATGATGTTTTGTACCGGCAACGTCGTTTGTTGGATCATGAAGGTATTTTTTTGATTTTATAGTGATTTCAAATAAAAACAATATGACTAACACTTTATAAATTTTAATTAGGTTTAATTCTTAATGACGATGAGATACAAAACCATATTCTATGTGATCTCAAAGACTTGCTGAGAAGTCGTGGTAAGAGCCTTCGCGATTACACAGATATGCCTCAAGCGAACCTCCAAAGAATTTGGATTGCAGCCAATCGACTGATTTTTGATGAAATGCAATACGATCGAATTGCATTGGCAAGCGAGCACACCAGATTATTACGTTCACTGAATGGTGAACAACGTGCAGCGTTTGAAGCAGTAATGCAATCTGTTCAAACAAATGCTGGCAAAGTATTCTTTCTGTACGGATATGGAGGCACTGGCAAGACTTATGTCTGGAGAACATTATTAGCTGCAATACGATGTCGAGGTGATATTGTACTAACTGTTGCCTCAAGTGGTATAGCATCGTTATTGTTGCCAGGTGGTAGAACGGCTCACTCGCGTTTTAAGATCCCATTGATTCCAGATGAAAACTCTACTTGCAACATAAGGCAAGGCTCTCCGCTGGCACAACTCTTGGTGAAAGCGAAATTAATCATTTGGGATGAGGTCCCTATGACACACAAGTATTGCTTCGAAGCTTTGGATAGAAGTTTGCGCGATATTCTACGATTTTCTAATCCGATGAGTGAACAACAAACTTTCGGAGGAAAAACAATTGTCTATGGTTGAGATTTTCGTCAAATTTTGCCAGTTATTCCAAAAGGAACGAGACAAGACATCGTTAACTTAGCGATTAATTCTTCATACATTTGGGAAGACTGCACTGTGTTGCGTTTGACAAAAAACATGCGGCTGCAATCAATGATTCATGACAGTGGTTATGATCAATCATATGAGTTCAGCAAATGGATTCAGAGTATTGGTGACGGGAACGCAGGTAATGATCATGACGGTTATGCTAAGGTGATTATTCCTGATGACATGTTACTTCCGTCTTTTGAAGATCCAATAGCCACTATAGTGAATTCAACTTATTCAGAATTTCAAAAAATAGCCAACGAACTGAGCTACTTGCAGGAGCGTGCAATTTTAGCTCCTACACTGGATGTCGTCGATTCCATAAACGAATATATGACAACGATGAATCCAAGCAGCGAGACTCGAACATACCTTAGTTCTGATAAAGTTGAGAACTCGGATTGCAGTTCAAGTTTTTTTGGTGACCTACACTCTCCCGAATTCTTAAATAAGATTCGTGCTTCAGGTGTACCGAATCACGAATTAACTCTGAAGGTAGGCACACCTATTATGTTGTTGAGAAATATTGACCATTCAATGAGTTTGTGTAATGGTACACGGTTGATAGTAACCCGGTTGGCTAATCACTCAATACAAGGAAAAATATATTCAAGAAGCCACATGGGTGAAAAAGTTGTTATTCCAAGACTATCATTAACACCGTCCGATACAAGAATTCCTTTCAAGTTTCGAAGAAGACAATTCCCTGTGGTTACTTCGTACGCAATGACGATTAACAAGAGCCAGGGACAATCTCTGAAACATGTTGGACTACTGTTACGGAAACCTGTGTTTAGTCATGGACAGCTCTATGTTGCAGTTTCAAGAGTAACTAATCGTAGTGGATTGAAGATTCTGATATGCAATGAAAACGATACTCCCACAAATACTACACATAATGTAGTATATAAAGAAGTCTTTCGAAATTTGTAAAACATTGATGTTCTGTACTTTGAAATTATATATACACTAAGCTCTATTGCATTTCAGTTTTTATCACTGAAAAATGATCTGAGTTCAAAAACATAAAAATGACCCGTGCAACGCACGGGTGTGATACTAGTATTTCAAAACTAAATTAAAAGTTTGTAAGTGGTCAAAGTGCAATAAGAATATTTTATTTTATCAAATGGCCAATGAAAATACACAGATAAAAAAATTATCAAGATGTCAAAATAGTAAATGAGGTAATATTTCAGTGCCGTGAGAAATATATAACTTGTACTTTCCTTGCTTGGAGATGTTCTTCTCATTTCACTTTTCAAAGTCAAAGTTTGTAAACTTTGACTTTGACATGTCAAAAAAAGATATTGTATTATGATATAACTTTAATATCAATATATTTTTATTGAAATGTACTTTTCAAATGTCAATTTTTTATAAAATATATATATATATATATAAATGAAGACATTAGTGGTCAAAGTGTAATCTTAGAGATCATAAAAAGTCAAATGAAAAGAAAATTTCTGAATGGAAGAAGTACTTGTTTTCTTCTACAAATTAAATTTTCACCCAATAGCACACCAGTCACATAAGTTTACTTTTAGGCATTTGATATTGGCACTCCATATATTGATATTGACACTCCACATTCTTACTTTAATACAAAAAGGGCAACATTGCCCCTCTAACAAAAAAACATTTGTTCTTATAAGCCTACAAGATATTTACAGAAAAGTGGCTCAGTATTAGCTATATTAATTCCACCCTTTCATTTTTAAAATATTATACTATCTCTGATTTAAAATATGGTTTCACCTCTATTTATTGGAAAAATTTTTCCAGAATAATCTCAACTTTATTCGGTCTTTCAAAAATAATACTCCGTATCATATTTCACTATGATGCATAATAATCCTAACTTTACTGAAATTTGCGAATTTCGGGTCACCATAAAATTACTAACAACGAGTTAACCGAAATGGCATGTTTTGCGGCTTTGCGCAACAAAATGAAAGTTGAGATTTTTTTGGATGAATTTTTGTTTTTAACTTTTTTGGAAATTTTTATTTAAATTTTTAAAATTACATTCTACCTTCATCATTTCTATTTTTTTTAAAGATTAGTCGATTTTTGGATAAAAAATAGATATAAAAATAATGAAAATGAGAAAAATAACTAAAATCATACAAAGTTAATGAAAAATATAGTAATCAACAGAAATTAACTTGTAACTGGTAAGAAATAAAATAAAAATGAATGGGTAACATTTTACACATTATGTAGAGCATTATGTACCAATTCTTCTTATTCTTAGGAAAAATTATCTAGAATAATTCTAATTTTACTTGTTCTTTCAAAAAACTAGTACATTAATACTCTGTATAGTGCTAAAATGTTAGAGCACTCCACTTTTTATATTTTTATTTTGTTTCTTTTCCATTTAATTTTAGTTTTTATTCATTACCTTATTTATTAAATTAATTTTGTATGATTTTGGTTATTTTTCTCATTCTTTGATATTCTATATTTTTTTTTATTTTCTATAAGATAAGAATAATTTTTAAAAAGAAATATTTATTGATTACACTCATTCTGAAACATAATGTTAATTCGAAATAAGGTAATGCTTATTCTAAATCATTTTTTTATTACAAACTTATCATGATATATTGTAAGAAAGGTAATTGGACTTTCAAATTGGGCTTTAAGGCCTCTCGTAAATGCTAATTGTTGCATCACGAAGAGCCTTGTTTGATTGGACCCGGAGCCTTCTTCTCAATCCCAAAGTGTTCGGCCGTCGGAGATGAGCCAGAAATTCGGCGGAGGAAAGAGGCCGACGGGAACTCCGTCGCTTGCGTGGTCGTGCGTGGTTGTCGTTGCCTCGTTGCTCACCGGCGCCTCCGTCGTTCACAACTTCTTCAAACCCGATTTGGTACCTTCTCTCTTCCACAAACTCCTCCATTTCTCCCCGAGATTTCTTTGGCTAAAACAGTACCCTTCTTCACTTGTAATAATTGTGAAAATGGAGCCAATCTTCTGCATTTTGTTATCTTACATCCAGTAGGTGATTTTGATACGTTAGTTCTACTGCGAGTTCAATATTTTGGCTCATTGGAGCCGCATCCCAACTGTTTGATAAAATGCCTCTTTCAAAATCTGTACATCTGATTAAATTTTAGTGTTTTTGTTCGTTCGCTGCTAGGATTTTCTTGCTTAACTTCAATTACATTGCACATGTGCTTGAGGAAAAATCCATTTTTTTTAGTTTCTCTCGTGTTGACTATAGCATTTCATATTGGGGTGTTACCGGATTGGACTTATGATTCAACTGTGCATTTATGTAGTGACCAATGAGATATGCTAAATTGCAGACTCTACCGCCCGTAGAACGCACTGATATGCCTAAGCAGGAACAAGTGAAGAAATGATCATTTCCACCCCACTGTATGTCCCAGTTTAATAGGCTTGGAGTTGCTGGACACTCAACTTTAATGCTTAAATAATGGAGATGACGTTTGAGTTTTCTCTGCATTTTATCCACCACTTCCTGTGTATTCTGCTGCTTAGGCTTACATGAAACTGCAGGTTGGTACTGATCTATAGGGTTTGGCGTTGATTACAATTCTGCTTCTTTTTAAGAACTAGAATCACTGAATCAGAACCCAATTTTTTTAGATGTATGAAGGCATGATTCTTTTTTGAGTGCTTGATATTGCTTCTGCTATCTAATAGCGAAATCATTACTAGACATTTATTTCTTTCACTGTGTGCGTGCATGAGTGTTGTTTCTAAAATTCCCTTGTATCATTCTTTATCTTTTCTTGTTCTCCCAACAATCTCTCACAACAGTTTGGTGTTCATAACACCCAATATAATTGCGCTTTGAGCAAATGTTTAGTCAGTTCTGTTCCAAGGTGTCTCGGGTTACTTTTTTAGGGCATGCTTGTCATAAGTCGTTATTACCTTTTTGAATTGTGGGTTTCAATTTTCAACTCTATTAGGCTCCGTTTTGGTACACGAAATTCAAGTCATGGAATTAGATTGAGAGACTTCAATTCCAATTATGCAGTTGAAATGGGAGAATTCAATTCCATCTAATTGAATGAGAGAATTCAATTCCATCCAATTTCAATTTAATTTTGATTCTGCGAATTCCATGTACCAAACGGATCCTTATGATTGTTACTTGAAGAAGGCACACCGTGACATGATTACTTCAAATGGCACTTATACAACATTCTGTGTTTAAATTGTATCTCAATATTAGTACTCATAAATTCATAGATAGCGAATGCAAGTCTTTGTAGGATTGATTTTTGGAACTTCCTTGTAGGTTACCTTTTGAGGCTAAATTCATTAATGACAAAAAAAAAGGATGAATCTCATCTCCTAGGAACCCTTGGGAGACCAGAATTGACTGCAGAGTTACCTTCTAATATGAGGTAATCTTTGATACTCAGTAGTACTAAATAGTTGAGCTAATCAATGGATGAAGGTAAAGAAAGGAGGGGAAGCACACATTTTTCTTTTGCCTCACTGTAAAGTTAACCAAAGCTAGTGTTAACTGAATTACAGGCTTCTAGCTCAGACAAGCCTTTCTTTAAAGGCAAAAGTGCAAAACAAAGTCCCAACTTTGAATTTCGTCACTCTTTATATTTCTAAGGAATTGATGATCGAAATAAAGTATTGGGACACCTCAACCATTGGATTAATAATTATGAAAAGCACATGGTATCTGAGTTTTTTTTATTATAAAAAATGTACTACTAGGCTGTGGAAAGCTAATTTTTAAGCTGTAAAGGCCTCTAATCCACCTTTGAATAAAAGCGGATAATCTATGTCATCGTGATTATAGCATACTAATTCCAAAATGCTAAAGTCATAAAAACAAAGCCACAAAATTTATGAAGTCTAATGACCCCACCCTGTTCATCTTTTCAATTCAACAAAGTAAAATGAGAAACATAAAAAACCTTAAAGAACCGATCGAAGATCAATAAACATGACTGGCCAAGAGAATTTACTCAAGGCGAATTTCTCTTTTACATTTGTTGGGTTGGTGTCGTTCAAGCTAGATGGTTTGCCACCCACCCGAAATTCGTTCTTAAAATCATGGGTTGATTTGTAAAGTTAGATGTCTCTCCCATCTCTTAGAGAGTGTTTGGGAGTGATTAGCTTATGGATAAAGTGATTTCTACGAAAGCTGAAAGTAAAAACACCTTATACCTGCTTCTCCGAAACAGTGTTCCATGTACAAAATAATGTTGGTGAAAAGCAGAAGCTGACATGCCAAACAGAGTAAAATCACTTCTACTCAAAGCAGAAGCTAAATTATTAAAAACAACGCACTGCCAAACACCCTCTTAGAACAGCAAGAAGCAACATAGGATTACTTGCAAGTTGCAAATTGAAATGGTCGAAACAACTACACTAGGGTCTTAGTATTGTCGATAATCTAATTTTTCAGGAACAAACAAAATATATGAATGGCGTTGTCGATGTTTAAAAATATTGACAAAAAAAATCAAAATGAAAAAATTACGTCCTAAAAAAGGAAACAATATACACTTTTTTTCTCAGAATATTTGTCTCGTTTTGACTTTTTACAGTCAATTAAGATTGACTTTTAACCTTTAATTAGATAAAACTTACGAGTACATGGTACATGAATTAGATAGAGAAATATTTTACAAGATAAATCTAATAAAATTATTCATGTATCAACATTTGATATAAGTTTTATCTAAATAATGTTCAAAGTTTAAAAATTTTGATCACAAAAAGGTAAAAACTCGACAACGACTTTAGGATGAAGGTAGTATTTTATAAAAACTAAATCCTTTTGTGAAGTTAAAGTCCGTATTTGAAACATGGACCATCTCCCATGGTAAAAAATATTTTCAGTTTGACTCAAAAAGATCAAATCTGAAGGGATCTTCACGATGGGGGATGAGACTCATTATCTATTCTCTGTATTGTTTTGTTTTGTTCAAGGAATTGAAAAGTAAAAGAAAAAGTAATAATTTTCTCTCATTAAAATGGGATAAATTCATTTTTTTCGTATATTTAATTTCTCATTTTCTTTTCCATTCGTCTCTAATCAGAAAATATATATTCCTTGTTAATTTCTTTTCATCCTCAAATTTCATGAACCAAAACAGAGTCTTAGTTTAGAATACAAGCTAACGACTTTTCAGCTTTTTAACAAACGTGGGGGCCAGTGTTGAGTCCCGGACGTGTAAAGTGTAAAAGAAACTTCATGGCCGGCCGATGATGGGCTTCGTCTAATCACGTCCGTAAATCACGGGTAGCTATCTACCCGCCCTTTTCATCCCCAACACCTCACGTTCCTCCACCGCACCTTTCTTTCTTTCTTTCTTTCTTTCTTTCTATAACCTCCCCCCACTTTAAGCCTTCACAGATCATTCATTCAGAGAGGCCAGGCTTGAAGCACAACTGCAGAGCTCTCTCTCACATTTCTACTCTCTCTTTCTCTCCTCTTTTCTTTCTGGTTTTGAACAAGGTGGTGAAAGATGGCAGAGACAGAGGCCGCCGATATTCAACCACTCGTCTGTGACAATGGAACCGGAATGGTCAAGGTATTCTGATCTTCTTTCTCTCCATCTCATCATATTCCTCTTCTTCTTCAATGATGGATATATATATATATGGTTCAATCTATGTATACATATAGGCTGGGTTTGCTGGAGATGATGCCCCAAGAGCAGTGTTCCCCAGCATCGTGGGCCGTCCGCGCCACACGGGAGTGATGGTGGGGATGGGCCAGAAGGATGCATACGTCGGAGACGAAGCGCAGTCGAAGCGGGGCATTCTCACCCTCAAGTACCCAATAGAGCACGGGATAGTGAGCAACTGGGACGACATGGAGAAGATTTGGCACCACACCTTTTACAACGAGCTCCGTGTCGCTCCCGAGGAGCACCCTGTCCTCCTCACCGAAGCCCCTCTCAACCCCAAGGCTAACCGCGAGAAGATGACCCAAATCATGTTTGAGAGCTTCAACTCCCCCGCTATGTATGTTGCCATTCAGGCCGTTCTTTCCCTCTACGCTAGTGGCCGCACCACCGGTAACGTTCTTGACTCGTTAGTGTTTTTAACCGTCAATTTTTATACTTCTTCCCTCAGGCAAAACATTTTCATTCTGTTTTTGAAATGGGAATCTGTACAAGTTTGACTAAGGTAAAACCAAGACAAATGAAACGAGTAAGACTCGAAAAAATATCAAAATAGGTAGGTCGTAGAAGGTAGTTGAAATAGGTTAATCTAGATTTAAGAAAACTAAAGATAATTGTATCCATTTAGCCCAAATTTAAATGTTTAATAAGACAAGTAAGATGTAAAAGTTGAAAAGTTTTAAGGAAAGCAGGAAGTACCAAATTAAGCATTCCATATATGTTTTATGCCGGATATATTCACCCCTTGCAGGCATTGTATTGGATTCTGGGGATGGCGTGAGTCACACCGTCCCCATATATGAAGGCTATGCCCTTCCCCACGCCATCCTGCGTCTGGATTTGGCAGGACGCGACCTGACAGATCATTTGATGAAAATCCTGACGGAGCGCGGGTACACTTTCACCACCACGGCGGAGCGGGAAATCGTGAGGGACATGAAAGAGAAGCTGGCCTACATAGCCCTTGACTACGAGCAGGAGTTGGAGACCTCCAAAACAAGCTCTGCCGTCGAAAAGAGCTACGAGCTGCCCGACGGGCAGGTCATCACTGTGGGGGCGGAGCGCTTCCGGTGCCCGGAGGTCCTCTTCCAGCCGTCCATCGTGGGGATGGAGGCTGCCGGGATCCACGAAACCACGTACAACTCTATAATGAAATGCGACGTTGATATCAGGAAGGACCTTTACGGAAACATTGTGCTCAGCGGCGGCTCCACCATGTTCCCGGGGATCGCGGATAGGATGAGCAAGGAGATCACGGCATTGGCCCCAAGTAGCATGAAGATCAAGGTGGTGGCGCCACCGGAGAGGAAATACAGTGTCTGGATCGGAGGGTCTATATTGGCTTCCCTCAGCACTTTCCAGCAGGTATTTGTTTGTCAAAGCCATATACGTAGCATTCTTTGAAGTTTTGCATATCATTTAATTATTACTCTGTTTTAATTTGGGCAGATGTGGATTTCCAAGGCAGAGTATGATGAGTCAGGCCCCTCCATTGTCCACAGAAAGTGCTTCTAATTTTTTCTAAAGGACACTGTTCATGAGTGCTGCAGAGTGCCATCTTATATATTTTTTTCTCCTACAATTCTACCTTTGTTTTCTGCCATTTCTGGTTTTGAGTGTTCCAATTCTTTTATTATTTTCTTCTTCTTATCAATCTTTGATTGTTCAACTGTTATATGTTTCTTCCCATATCTCATTCATGTAATGATCGATCTATTTCTGTTGTATACGAAGTTTCAAGTGTTATTCAGCATGTTTCAATCAAATCAACTTTTGGTATGTAGATGGGATGGCAATGTTTTTATGTCCTTCCAATAACCGCAGGAAATGACCAAAATCTTCACATTGCCTATGAGCAAATAGATAACTTAAATGAATCTCAAGCTTAATGAGAGACAAAACAAAATTACGAATCTGAAAACAACAACAACAACAACACCCTAAGTTACATATCGATCAATCCACCCCCCTTGAATTCACCTTGTCCTCAAGGTGAAGGTCGGGGTCTTCGTTAGTGCCCACTGCCAACGATCATCATTAATGGCGGTTTAAGACATTTGTGGCCCAGTTTGTAGGTCTCATCACAGTAGTAACACAACCTTTTAGCATGACGGTCACGGATTTCTGCACTTGTGAGTCGACGAGCTGGAGTCAGAGTTGGTAAGGCTAGCTAACCGGGGGCTAGGGGCTCACCCCAAAAGGCCTGCAGCGGTTGGTTCCTCGCTAGAATTTGAGACTCGACACAGCCTCAATTTCTCTTCCACGAGACGTGCCATCCGAATAGCATCAGACAATAAGCGAATCTCGTCCTTGAGTCCACTCACGAAACATATAGCACTGCTATTTAAAGTATTTTAAGGCTCTAAGAGTGCTATTTTAGTTTTTATCCCATTAATTTTTTGCACACTTTTTTTTGGGACCGTCTCCAAATTTCTTTCTCATTTCTTATTTTGACAATTTTTTAATGAATGTGTCATTATATCTCACTTTTTTTATTGAATGTTTCGTTATACCCTCAAAAAAAATTCACTTTAGGACAATTCTTTTGTGGTCATAAGGTCAAAATTTATTTGATGGACATTAGTATATAAATATCATGCATCAATTGAGCTTTTGAAAAAAAATATAACATCCCATGTCAGTCCATAAAAAGTGTAAGAAGATCCACATTTCACGTTTAAATTTTCTCATAAAAGCACAACTCTTCACTTTATTACATAACATCAAAGGCAAATATGGAAAATTTTTACATTTTTTAATTTTTTTTAAATCCTTATACCAAGTCACTACGGAAAATATATTGTTAAAGAAAGGGAGTAAGGTCATTTTCTCTTCACTTATTCTTACTTCCTCCAATTCGAAATCACTTTCTCTTTCATTTTTTCACTTCCAACAAAGTACCACTTTTTATTAAAAAATCATTTTACCATTACTTTTTCATACCATACATATTACATCATACTTTTTCTTTAATAATCTATCTATCACATCTTAATTTTACCCATCACATCAAGGGCAAAATTGGAAGTCAACTATAATTTAACACTTCTTTATTTTTACATTTGGTCAAAATAGGAAATCTTTTTTAGAACCGAGGGAGTATTATTTATTGGTTTTTCTCATTAGAATCAATTCTGTTCAGATCAGATAGAAAAAAAACTTTAAATATAACTACATTTAAATCATATCAGATCAAACTAGATCAGAATTTATTCCAATAGGATTATAACCATCCAGTGAATCCTACATGCCTAAGTTCATGTTCTCTTCATTCGATCTGAATAGTTCTGATCCCGATTTGAATAAATAATAATCTAATTTAATCTAGTATCAATGTATGATATGATTCGAATAAAAATAATAATAACTAATAGAGTAATTCCATAAAAGGTCTCTAGTTATAATAGTTTTACATATTTAGTCCTTACATATCAAATTTCAATAATTTAACCCCAATTATTATATTCTTTTCCACGAATGGTCTTTTGTTAACATTTCCGTTAAAAACGTGGATAAAATTGTAAATTCACACTCCTGTCTCTTATCAATTAAGTTCCCTCTCTCTCCCTCGCACTCTTTTGCCAAACATGTCACTGAGTTTGAAGCCTTGAACCCAAAACCAAAATCATCACTTTCTCTCCATTGTTTTTCTAACTGGTGGAATCCAAATTCGAAACTAGTAACCCTCATGAATGAGTTTTAAGGTTTATTTTCTTTGCAATTTCTTGAGACTAATCGATACAACTCAACTATAAAGGTTATTAGTTTTTATTCTAGGTTCTACCAGGAAGACTAACAATTGAGAGAGGAGTGATCATTTCAGTTTTGGGCTTCAAACTGAGCGACGAGTTTGGGAAGGAGTACGACATGAGGGAGGAAGCTTAATTGAGGAGAGATAAAATTATGAATATACAATTATATTCATGATCTTAACAGAAACGTAAACAAAGAACCGTTCATGAAAAATGATATAATAACTGAGAAATAAATTAGTGATATTTGATATCTATGCACTAAATATAAAAAATAATCTATAATTGGCGACCATTTATGGAATTTATTATAACTAATAAGAATAAGTTAAAAAAGAAACTAAATGAATTTCTTTCACATCAACCCGTCAGCCTTCCCACAACCGCGCGCGCCGCTGCCGTCTTTTTTTAGGATATCATACCGTCAGCTTTCAGATCTCGCCGCGCCGTAGTGTAAGAAGAAGATGGAACAGACAGAAGACATTCGACCGCTTATCTTTGATAATGGAAGTGGATTTACCAAGGTATTGGCCGATTTAAAATTTATTTATAGATTGTGTTTTCATATATTTTTGAGTAATTTTTTTTAATGGAGAGTAAATTAATGTTTTTCTTATATAGCATTGACGAAATTTCTCCTGAAACTTGTGCTCCAGTTTCACGATTCAATAAGGCATATTTGATGAAAAATGCTATTTGTGCACCATTTTTAATCCCAGATTTGACACATCTTTCTTACAAATATCCGATACAGTTTTATGTTTGTAAGAAAGATAATGTCAAAATGTTGTATAGTCTGTTGGGTTCCTTCCTTAATTGGAGAGATTCTAGAAACTTCCAGTGCTCTCTAGAGAAGTCAAGAATTTTCTAGAACAATCCGGAGAACTCTAGAAAAGTGTAGAACTCTCTAGAAGCTTATGGAAGAGTGTGGAAGCCTCTGGAATATTCTAGAGAAGTGTGAAGCCTTCTAGAACCTTACGGAAGGTTATAGAAGAAGATGGAAGTGTATGGAGATTAGAAACTTCTAGAGATGTTGAAGTTTCTAAAACCCTAAAACTACCCATGGAGGAGTACTATAAATAGGGAGAATCCCCTTCACTTCCAACTATCAAAAGTGAAGAAAACAATCCACTTGTAAAGTGAGAAGCTTCTTAGAGAGTGAGAGTGTAAAGCTTGGGAAGTCCTAACCCTCAAGCTTGAGTGAGCCACCATAGTGTGAGTCAATCTTGTAAACATATTCTTGTAATCCTACTATTCTTTTATATAGTGGAAGAATCTCCATTTTGGAGAATTATAAACTCTTGTTCTCTCACTACTACATTAATTCTTAATTGCCTATCTTAACTTCACGAAGCGGGAAAGATCGAGCATTTCCCAACATAGTCCAAGCATGGTTCTTCGATTTACAGGTTGGGTTTGCCGGAGAAGATGCTCCAAGAACTGTGTTCCCCAGCATTGTGGGTCGTCCCCGTCACCGCGGCGTAGGGATGGACCACATAGATGCATTGGTTGGAAATGAAGCACTCCAAAAGCGTGGCATCCTGAGGATGAAATTTCCACTCGAGCCTGATGGCATAGTGAGCAATTGGGAAGACATGGAGAAGATTTGGCATCACTCCTTTCATGAAGAGCTCCGGGTTCCTCCCGAGGAGCACCCCGTACTCCTCACTCAACCCCCTTTTAACACGAAGGCAAATCGGGAGAAGATGACCCAAATAATGTTTGAGACTTTCAAGATCCCAGCTATGTATGCTGCCATTCCGGCTGTTCTTTCCCTCTATGCTAGTGGCCTTTGTTGTGGGTCCAGCCCATTTTATTTGGGTTCCATTTTTCTTTGGTGGAGGGCCCAATTGTGTTTTTACTTTGTTGACTAAAAAAAAGAGAGTAAAAAAAAGGGGCTGGGCAGTGGTGCACTTACGGACAGAGCAGAAAAGAAAAAAAAACAGAATAGAGAGAGGAAAGGTGCTGGTGCAGAATTTACAGACCAGCCGCACAAATTCAATCATCTCAGGAGATCCGACCGTTGGATTGAGCTGAAATTTTCAGAGGTTGTTCCCAACACTTAGGGCTTCAATCTGTTCAATTTTCACTTCAATCGGAGCTACGGATCTTCTGTAATCGCAGCTGGTGCGACGCTGCGTTTTTGGGTGATAATCCTGATTTTCCTTCTCTATTGTTGGTGCCTCTTATGTATGTTGTTGTTGGTGGGCTGTGACATCCTTGTAGACTGAGTTTGGGTGTTTTTACCCTCAATTTGCATAATAAGAGAAGAAGAGGGCGGACTCCCTATAAGTCCCGTGGTTTTTATCCTTCACATCGAAGGGGTTTTCCACGTATAAAAATCGTGTGTCGTTTGCATCTTTATTCTTCATATTTGATTGTGGTTTATTTGATGTGCTGCTGATTTTGTGTGCTTGGTTAATCAAT